AAATGCCATTTTCTTTTTGTACAATTGTCACGTAGTCACAAACAGTGAATGCCAGAACACGCAAAAAAACACCTACAAAAAGTACAAAAATGAAACCATCTACCTATTAGGTTAGTCAACTCTTTATAAAATACTCCAGTAACTACTTTCTGGAACAACAAGATTTTTAAAAACACAACTGTCTGCAACAGGAAGATGAAAAACCTGAGGAAAAAACAATCCAAAATTTTTAAAAATGGGAATTATAGGTGAAATCATCTAAGTTTTATAAGTCCAAAAAGCATTTGCTGGGCAATTATTTATGATGCCAGATCTTGTTACCACGGATACAAAGATAAAAAGAAATGGGTATATCCTCAAGTAGTCCATAGCATAATCTGGGAGAGAAAATTTATATAAGAATAAATACTAAAAAGTACCATTAATGTGAAAAGTGAAAAGTACCATTGTTGTAGTAAGCACAAGCTTCAGTAGTGGCGTGAAAAAGACAGTGACCATCTTGAACCTGGGGAACATCACAAAAGTGAGTCTTGAACTGCAGACTGCCTGACAAATAAGAGGCAGGCCATTATTCCAAGGTAAAGTGCAAGAGCTCTTGCAAAGGTCTCGCATCAGCCTGGAGTGTTTGGGAAAATGGTTTCATACAGCCACTTAGGGCAGAAGAGAAAGCAGTCCCTAAGGTTAGAGGGGCAGGCAGGGGATCTTGGACTTTCCCAAGTACACAAAGGGAAATACTTGTTCTTTAACCTATTGAGCAACAACATCAGGTTTTACTTTTTCAGAGAGTAGTTCTTGCAGTGGTGTGGAAGTCTAAAGAAATGAGTGCAGAGAAAAGGACCAAGAAGAAAAGATGAGATAATCATCTGAAATAAGGAAATCTCCCCCAAAGTCCAGATGTCACTTTTGAGTTAACATACCCTATAACCACAGGCCTACTAGGTACCTTCTCAGAATATCCTAAAGGGACCTAAACACATGAATCTCACCTAATTCGACCTTGATCTTCCCCCTACCCCCTCCCACATGGTCCTAAAGGAAACACAACTGGCCTTCATCCAAACTCCAGTTTCTTCTCTGGGACAGCACCACCAGATATGGAAGTAGAAATCCCAGAGGAGCAACCCATGACTTCAGCCCTTCTATAGGCTCATGTCTAAAAGACCCCAAATTTCACTGTGGTGACCTCTGAATTTCCCATCACCACTCCTCAGTCCTGTGGCACCTCTGGCCAGGGCTGCGGCAGCTGCCTGCTCTTTCTTTCTCACTTTAATTTTGACTTGCATTGCAAAATACAACCACAGATCTGATGTTACTGGAGTTCTGCTGCCATTACTGCACCTCCCATACCACATGGTACACTTATGAATCCATTAATGGGCTGGGCTCAGTGGTACAGCACTTGAACAGCATGTGTGAGGCACTGATTTGAGCCTCAGCACCACATAAAAACAAATAAATAAAAGTGTTGTGTACACTATAACTAAAAATATTAAAACTTAAAAAATCCATCAGTGGCTTGGGATAAAAACGAATCTCCTCATTTAGCTCATTTTGGTCATTAACAAATGGAATACCACACTGACCTCTTTCAGTTTTCCAACTCCCAGGTTACTTCCCACCACAGGGTCTTTGCACATACATTCTCCTTTCTTCTTCCTCTAGGTAACTTCTGCTTGTTCCTGCACTCTTAGTTCAACTGGGACAGCCTTCCCAGACCAGATCCAAGTCCCCTGTCTTAAATTCTCAAAGCACCACACCTTCACAGCTACATTTCATTCATCTCAATATTGGTTTATTATACATCTCTCCCTTAGAATCACCCCATGAAAATAAGGATTGTGTTTAGCTCACAACTATAATTCAAATATTTATCTGGCATATAGCACTCAAATTTAATGCAATTATATTAACTAATTAATTAGATTCATGAGTGAATGAATTTAAAAATCAATTTAGAAGCAGAGATACGTTAAAGGGGACAGGGCAAAGAAATATTTCAATTATTAGATGTGCAAAGTCAAAGTGTCTCCTGTATGAGTAATCATGTCACTAAAAAATTAAAATTAAAAATATACAAATATGGGGGTAGTGGAAAAATATATACACACAAAGAAGAGTAGGCTTAAGCAGTGGGGGAAAATACTAAATGTTGATTATGAGCATCTAAGGAATATTCAAATTCAAATGGTCAATAAGTTGTTAAGAGTATGCATTCTTGACTAAAGTCTGAATTAAAATACAAATTTGGGTGTATATCAGAATGTACAGAAGAGAAAACCTCAAAATAAGGAGAACTCAGAATGAGATAAAGATGAAATCAAGCTAGAGTCTAAAACAGCATTTAAGAAAAAGGACATAAGATTAAAAAAAAGAGCAAAGAAGAAAATTAAAAGGCAATGTTGTAGAAGTCAAGAATTGGGTTTAAAAAAATCATAGGTAATATTAACTGCCAAAGAGAGGTCAAGCGAGAAAAAAAAATTGTAAATGATCAATGCAGTTGGCAATCAATAATTATCACAACAGACATGACTACAGTTGACTGAGGAGTGAAGAGAGGTGAGGAGCCAGAGAGACACTGAATGTGGACTATGTGCCTGAATGCAAAAGAAACAAAAAACCAGGAAGGGCACAGACTAGGAGTTGCAGGTCAAGGAAATATTTTATTTGCTTATTCTCAAAATGAAAGACTTTGGTGTACTTATGTGTTAAAAGGAAGAGGCCACTGGCTGAAAACATGAGGGAAAATATCTGATAGAACACAGTCTAAATATGAATCCCAAGGGATTTTACCTTTACCAGCTAAAAAAAAGGAACCAAGAATCTTAGAGATGAGAGGTGTTTCTGTATCAGGGCAAGGAACTGTGGATGTATATATGGATAGCTGCAGACCGACAGGTGTTCCAGAGGGGGCAGCTTAAGTTTCATACAAAAAATTTTATCCTGTGGACAACAGAGATACTTGACAATAAGAGACACTTGGAATAACAAAATGACACTTTATGTTTTAAGGAAGTGGTGGGGAGGTCACCCCAAAGGTTTGATGTAGCCAATATGAAATGGAAGGGTCTTCTAGAACCACCTGAAAGTATGCTAACTGTTCAGTAGAGTATTCTTCTCCTTGCTGTGCTACTTCTTACTCCAAATGCACAGGTCCCTGATCCCTCTGACAGCTCTAATCTTGCTTTGTATTGTTATGGGCCATTTCATCACAATGATTTTGTTCTATTTTCCTACTCTCCCTGATAATTAAGAGGAAGAACATATCTGGAATTTGTTTTAGCATTTTCTAAACTTTCTTCAAACTTTCCTCCTTAACTGCTAAAGAAGAAACATTATGAGGTAAAAAATTTAAACAAAAAAAAATTAGTTTCACATAAAATACCAAATTTCAAATCTAAATTCCAAATCAAATTCCTGCCAGGGTTTAATCACAGAATTTAAAGAAAAACAGATAAATATCTTGGTCTTTTTATAATATGGCCAAAGACCTACTTCAGAATTCACTGCCATGGTTAAAGCACTTCTGCATATTACTGATTACATAAAAAAACAATATAAACTTTTCAAAATACTGAGGTATGCAGAAAACTTCCTATTACCAACTTCTCCAAAATTGTACAAGGTGCTGAAAACTCATCTCAAGATGATCATATAATGCACATAAAAGAAAAAAACACCCAATTTCAGAATGATTAAATGAGACACTCCTGGAGAAATTATCTTAGTCAAATGTAGAATCAAAACAATTAAAATAAACCTACTAGAAGATGACACTGGATTTTGTAAAACTATCTTGTAATAGACCTTCACTAAACTAAAAAGTTGTAGGTTGACTCAAGTCAGTTAAATAATTTTATTATACCATCATTAAACTGAGCACAAACACTGTAGATTCTAAGTCTCCCCACTTAGTGCCGAGATGTTCAAAAACAAAGGTGTCCATCCCAACTATTTACCTTTAACTACAAGAGTGACATTAAAAATCAGCTGGCACCAAATGTCAACTATTTCACCCTTCTCTTTCTTCCCCCTCCATCCTCCCCATCCCCCCACCTTTAAACAGAAGCACAGACTCCTGGACTTTCAAGGATGGGCTTGGCATTCTCCCTTCAGTGCTTACTCAACCACTCCCTTGCCCACCTTCCCTAGCAGCTGAAAAGAATCTTCCTTGAAGACCTCTTTAACCAGGGAAATAGGGCTGGGTTCCTCCGACATGCTTGTGAACGCCTGTCATCTGTCTCTCTTTTGTCCCCCTCACCAGTCTTGGAGTTCTTTATAACTCAGAATGGTCACACAGAACAACCTCTTCTGGAGTCCTAGCTATGATTTTTCAATACCCAAAGAGAATGACACATAGGGATAAGACCATGTAATGTTTTATGTTTTTTTTTTTTCTTAAACTTACCTCACCCCTGAAAGTTACCGTGCAGGGTGGGTTTGAGTGCCTTTTTAAACTTGCTTCTGCACTACTTACTCCCTATGACAACGTTACAACTTCGCTAGAGAATCCTTGAAACTGTAGTAGGCATTTCCTGGCCTAAAACTAGCTTTAGATTTAGAGGCTTCTGAGAGATTCCTAATGACCACACATTCACGGCTACTGGTCGGAAAAAGTTCCTCTGCAAACGAAGCCTGTCAAAAGGTAAAAGCAAACTACACTCGAAAAACACATCATAGAGGTTCACGTTAAATTTTTTTATGCTTAAGGTAAGGGCTGCTTTAATGAAAGTCATCTCATGACCTTTCAGATCTGTGCCCCAGATAAAACTACGCAAAATCACCCAACGAACACAAGTCTGCTGCAACTAAGTGCACTCACCACACCTCGGAATATTAAGAGCCGAGTTAAAACTAAATCCTCGGCTCACAAGCAGTTCGCTGGCTCCCACTCAGAGCCCGCAACGTGAATGTCATTCTGAGAATGCCAGAACCTAAGTTCGTTTTTTAATTTCTAAAACTACTTAAAAATGTTCCTGTGTTAACAACCCAGTTGTAATTACTTGGACGCAATCCAGTGGCAACTGATTTTCCGTGTACCCCTGGAAATGCTTGGCACCTCGCAAAACCCATCTCCGCCTTGTTCCCGAGCCGAACCCTCCGCTGCCTTCCCAGCCAGCGTCGCCCGCAGCCGCCCAGGGCTCGCTAACTGCCCTCGGGCTCCACCAGCGCCCTCGACACGTGAGGAACAAAGCCGCTCCCCGGCGTCCCCCAAGTCCCCTCCACTGCGCGGCGCGAGCGGCCCGGATTCCACGAAGGTCACGGGCACTCCGCTCCCTCCCCGCCGGGCGGCGCGGCTAGCGACACCTCGTCGCGCTCCGGGAGAGCGGCTCCTGACCCG